GAGAGAGAGAGAGAGAGAGAGAGAGAGAGAGAGAGAGAGAGAGAGAGAGAGAGAGAGAGAGAGATTTTCATTGATAGGATGAAGAACGCACTGGCCAACAGGTAAGTCTCCAACCCCGCGGCTGGCCTCAGGTTACTTTCATCGATCAGATGAGCAAAATCGGACGAATCTACGGCTATAACATCGAAATATACACCGCCAAACTTGTTTGTTTGGTTCCGTGTGTGTGTGTGTGTGTGTGTGTGTGTGTGTGTGTGCGTGTGTGTGTGTGTGTGTGAGAGAGAGAGAGAGAGAGAGAGAGAGAGAGAGAGAGAGTTTTCCATGGATAGGATAAGGAACGCACCGGCCAACAGGTGAGTCTCCAACCCCGTGGCTGCCCTCATGCTACTATGAGCAAAATCGGACGAATCTACGGCTATAACATGGAAGTATACACCGCCAAACTTGTTTGTTTGGTTTCGTGTGTGTGTGTGTGTGTGAGAGAGAGAGAGAGAGGGAGAGAGAGAGAGAGAGAGAGAGAGAGAGAGAGAGAGAGGTGGTGGGCGCCGACCTTCATGGCTGCCACCCGGTCTCCCGCTGCCCTCTGCCGCTTCCCGCCGCTGCTTCGAGCTGATGGCGTCCTGCGACTGCCGTATGCCGATGGTGTCCCGCCGTGTCCCTCCCTCCCTCCTTCATCGGTCTCCCGCTTCTCCCACCATCGTCGCCCTTCCTCCGCTGCTCCCCGCCTTCGTTGCTCGCTTCTTGGTCGTCCGTCGTAGCGTCTCTCCCTCCCTGGTTCGTGACGTGAAGATTCGAATGGCGAGGGGCGCGCGACTCTGGGAAGACGGCCGTCCCCCTTCTCCAAAAACGTTTTTTGGGGAAGGGCCTGCCAAATTCGAAATTTCAAATTCCGCAGGCCCTTCCCCCCAGAACACTTTCGGAGGCGGGGTGCGGCTGGTTTCCGGAGACGCGGGCCCCGCCCGTCATTTTTGCCGGGGTGGAGGCCCGCCCTCTGAACTAAAACCCAATTTCCCCCCCCCCCCCCTCCCTACCCCTAATTTTTGCTGTGTGGGGCCCCACGGTGCGGTGCGTGGCGCTACGTGTGCAAATCGTGCGCAAACCGGCGCACAGTCGTGCACCGCAACTACGAGTGAAAGTGGTTCTGTTGGATTTTTTATTATTATTATTATTTTTGTGGGAAGCTTAATAGCTACAGCAGCAATGGAGCTCTTAAATCTTTTTTGTCTTCATGAACTCCGAATAGTTGTTAATCCTCATCGTAACAATGATGGTGCAGTGTTGATGATGTTGTTGGCGGTATGGTCATCATGCGCAGAGGACACTGCCATTCTGCCTCAAGGAGGTGTGGGTCTTCACAGCTTGCAAAGCATTGGCCAAGGCCACAGCAGACCACTTTGTAGAGCGGTCCATGTCCATGCAGGCTGAGAAGGAGTTCTACCGACTGCAAGCTGATCTCTATTACCTCGCCAGGGCTAAGGTGAGCAATGTCTGCACTTTCAGAATACCTGAGGATTGTTGAATGTGTGCATTTAACCAGGTTCTGGTTGTGAATCAAGGGCTCTCTGTCATAAATCCTCTCGCATCACAGCTCTCTCCTCTTCTACAGTATGCTTGTGCACCAGTGCGGAAAAAAAAAACGTCTGCTCTGGCATTCAATGTTACTGTTGTGAGCTTGTTACTTGTATGAGCATAACCATTTGTTTGCAGTTGACAGTCGTTCCATATCTCTGAAACCACTGGATCGTAGGCATGGCAGTGTCTTTGTGAGCATGCTCTGGGAAGACATGTTGATGCATCAGATGGATGAGGACCCGGCTCTCCATTGTTTGACAGCAGCTTGCACTCTTAATATTGTAGACCAACAAAGGCGTGTGGAATTTGCAAAATGCAGAGTTTGTAACTTTGTGTATTTGTTGCCGCATGCGTCTTGTAAGGGTTTCCATGCTCTTTGTAAGGGTTTACAACTTTACACCCGTTCTCTCGCACAGTAATCAGATTTCCCATTTTATCTGGCGTGAGATCAACTCAGGGTCTGAGCCATCCATGGTCGGTATTGTGATCTGCTGCTGATCGTTCATGAGAGACATTGGCTTGCAATCATGGTCATCACTGACACACTGCAGTATGGGTGTGATTATGTGTTAATCAGATTCGGTAGTCATGAACATGGTAACGTGCTTTCTCCCCTGTACTAAGGTAGAGAAAGATCGAACTCTGAAGTGCTTGGTGAGTAGTTGTAACTGTTGTAGCAAGTGTTGGTAGTCTTGGGCGAAGAGTTCAGGAGTTGCTGCAGACATCTGAGGTCCTGGGCGTGCAGTCCAGCTGTCACAGGGCATGCTTCGTCGGGGTTGCACATGCGTGCAGTTCAGATGACATGCCTGTGAACACCCCATTTCCACGGCTACTGGTGCCTACCTTGGTCTCTCTGACAAGGCCCAGGCCCAGCAGCACATGCACTGACCTGTGCTAGCCCCCCCAAAATCGAAATAGGCATTTGGGAACTCTCTTTGTTTTTTCACTACTTTTTGCCATATTTTCTTGTTGGTTGTTCTTTGTGTGTTTGGTGATTGTGGCACTCTTGGAAGTGGCGGTTGTTTTGGGAAGCTGTAATCCTGCAAATCCTGAAAAAGGGTGAATTTGCACAAAAGATGTTTGCTTTTTTCATCGCAAGCTTTGTCATCACTTCTCTTTTTCGTTTCTTCAGCTGTTGATTTCTGTACTTCGAGTACACCATGGGGGACACCCACGAACCCCTATCTCTCCCTAGCCGATGAGGTAGGTCTGTACCAGCGTTGGTGCGAGAGCGAAGCTTACCAGCACCTCATCACACTGATCTTGGGTGCACGTGCATGCTCAGGACCAGTCTTGGTGGAGGATTCCTGGCAACTGTTCTGCACAAACCAGTTTAGGGCAACCAGTTCCTGTGACACCCAAAACTCTGACAAGGCATGTTTGCTGCTGTGCACAATTCGTCTCCGCAGCTGCTGGTCCCCATCCCAACTTCTCTGGCACCGCCTAGGCCCATTACGACAGGCACTGATGCGCACTAGTTCAAGGCCTAGGCCCATTTCTTCAGCTGTTGATCTCTCGACTATATGTGTACACTACTGGGAACACCCACCAACCCGTATCCCTCCCTAGCCGCATGGGCTAGATTTGCACCACCGTGTTGGTCGGAGAGCGAAGCTGCACCAGCTCCTTGTCACACCGATTTGGGACTTGGCAGCATTGCCGGTGGGGTAGCACCGGGCAGGGCGAGTGCTGAGCACTGTGGCCAGTCCCTCCACTTGTCCTTCGCTCCCACCCAGACTGCATTTGTGGTGTCGGGTAGCGAATATTGTTGTAGCATTGCACCCAACAATATTGGCTAAGGTGCTGCTAATGCTAGCTTTGGGGGGGCTGTGTGGGCTAACACTAGATGGCAACTGACGGACCATGCACAGGCCTGTATGTGAGGGCAATGGGAACATTGTTGTTGCATTGCACACAACAATCTTCGCTGAGGTCCAGCTAATGCTGGCTTCGGGGACCATGCCCAGGCCTGTACGTGAGGCCAATGGGAGTTGAACCCAGGGCTCATGAATGCGACCTCTTTGCCTTACCCACCGAGCCATGCCTATTGCCATAAGGCAGCATTTTTGCTTTATTTCAACGTACTTTTTTTGTGTGTATTTTTCTTTTTCTGTTGATATATTTGGTGTTTTCCCTTTGGGTTGTGGCAAGGTTTGTGGATTTGGTTATGAAAGGCATTCGAAAGTCCTGAAAATTTAGGGATTGGTTGATCAACTGTCCCAAGAGTCAGGACAATCCTCGGGGTCATGCCATTCTGGCTGAGTGGATGAGTTGGGCTTTATGGCTGTGAGACACTACGGCTTCTAACATTGTCAAAACGACAGAGGTCAAAGCTCTATCTGGATTCCACAGACCCAGGCGACTGGAAGCTCGGGTCTTCTGGTTCAGATCTGATCGACACTTTGTGCCGCCAGCCTCAGGCTGGGCTTTCTCATGAGAAGTGTAATTACTTCCAGAGATGAGCAATCGATTTTTAATTTCCAAGTGGGATTAGATTTGTACAAGTGTAAAGAATGACAGAGGTGCAAAAAGTTTCCGTTGGCCTACCTATCTGCCATCATATACCCTAGTGGCATGGGGTCTGTTTGCTCTCGTGGCTTGATGATCGTTGGATGCTTATCTGTTTGGTGGAGTCTCTAACCTGGGAACATAGCAATGGTCATTTCCCACTTGCTATCTTTTGGACAGGTATGCCTTGCCCTGTAATCCTTGGCTGTTTGTTCGATGTGCTTCGGCCTTGGGCACTGGAAGAACTGGATCCTGGAGACAGACTCAAATGGCTCATCTGTCAGTCAATTCTTCTGGAGAAGTAATAAATTCTCTCCGAGTTCCCTTGCCCGTAACGCGGCGAAGCGTGAGGTGTGAGTCATTCTATTGTCAGCATATTTTTATGGGACGCTGGACCCCGTTTCCAGCAGGTGCTGTGTTTTCAGGAAAAAAACAATTGTGTGTTTCTTGCTTAAACTGCAGCATGAAATTTTGCCTGACGTGGTTGGAGCAATTTTTGGATAAGTGGTGAGTTTTGCCCTGTCGTGGTGTTTCTCAGTCATTGGATCTGGTTAGCGTGTTGGAGGCAAATTGGGGCTACAATGTCAGACCCGAATCTGACGGTCAGAACTGCCATGTGAGAGAATTCTAAAACGAATGCTGACACACCACATCGTGCAGCAGACTGCCGGAAAAGAGCTCATGGGAACCAGCCCAAGTGGAATCCTGAATGGTGCACCCATGAAGAGTTGATAAACAGACCTAAGTTCGAATCCTAATGGAATCAGATGTATGAACTAACTCTGGCGCCAGTCAGTTCCATGATGGTACCTTAAAACACCAGTCAATCCGACTGTCCTTCTTCTAACTCACGGGGATGGTAGTTAAAGGGCCCACTGCTTCAACTATGTGGTGGGTTAACTATCACGCCAGAATAAAATAGCTGGGAAGGGGACTGGTAGTTAAAGGCCGTAGCCCTGAAACGGAAAAAAAACGAGAGGGGAAACATATCGAAAACTGAATGGCACCGGCGCGTGACAGAAAAAAAAGGATTACAGCTAAAAGGGCCTTTACCCAATATAGGCCTCAGGCCTTGTAAAAATAAAAGCAGTATGGGCCTTGAAAAGGTAAAGCATTGTGAAAAGGTATCTCGCCAGAGCTCAGAAACGTGAAAGCAGGTCAAAGGTCAAGTTCTCTATCAACAGGCATATCTAAAGCTAAGGCAAAGGGCATTGTCAAAAGACTTACCTGTTCACCAGGAGATGTGTATGTCATGTCTATTTGGGTAAGAGTGTGTCTGTACGTGCAGGCAGTGTACCTGTTCGTGCAAAGYWAAGTGTCTGTTCAAGCAGTAAATGTGTCTGTTCGTTGAGAGTTGTGCCTGTCCGAAAGTAAAGTCAATAGGCACAGTCCCAGTTCTGGTCTAAGTCCAGGGGTCAGTCCAGATCCAGACTTTCAAATCCAAATTCAGGCCGGGAGGCCTCAGCAGCAGTTGAACTTTATTGGGACTCTACTGGGACACATGCAATGCAGGGTCTGGGACAAGGAAAGAGGCTGAATTGAGCCAATGCAGACCCAGCGAGGAGTATAAAGGAGGCAGCCAGCCTCATTCCTCGCCAGATTCTCCACTGGCTGCAATGCATGGAAGTGCTGGTGCACTTGTGCGCTGAGTCAGGAGGAGCAGCGCTGGAGGAGAAGATGCGCTGGAGGGAGGAAGAAGCCTGTACGCTGGAAGTGAATGCAGCCATAGCTGCCCARCRAGTTAGCATTAGTAGTAGAGGGTTAGTATGAAGCTATGAGCAGTATCCAGAGTAGATCCTCATGAGTATTGAAGAGTGTGTATGCATCATAGAGAGGAAGGGATTGAGGCTAAGAGTGTACATTCAAGGTTGGCWATGGAAGATACTTACCTKAGTTGGATGTGACCTGCAGAGGTGGCGCTGATGAGTGGTGATCACATTGTTGATTTGGAGACTATCTGCAGGGGTAGCACTGATTCACTGGAAGGCATATTGATGAGTTGAGCAGAGATTTGTGTTGCGCTGATGAGCGCTGGACTCAGGGAAACTTTGAAACACTTTGTAATCATATTTCTGATAATATCAGCTGTGAGACTCGGTCCTCTTCTTCTCTACCTTTGTCTATGGTCAGACTACTGTTCATTGTGTGTGGAAGATGATGCATGACATGTACACATCTGCATAAGATGGTCCCCAGGACCCATGCACAGCTGTTGCGAGTAGCACCACATGGATACCCCATCCTCTCCTCCCCCCCCCCCCGTTTCCCCACACCACACACACACATGCATGCTTCATGTTGTTTGCATGAGAGGTAAAGATGTTTCAATTGTGGATTTTCTCATTTCAGTGTGCTTCATTGTTTGCTATAGAGGCAAAGCTGTTCCGGTTTGGATCTGCTGATTTGGGTGGAAAAAGTGTTGTGGTGACAGTATACAACACACGTAAACACACATGCACACACACTCACACATAGGGAGATTCATTCTTGCTGTCCTTGTGCAGGGGCCATGCTTACAATTTCTGTTTGTTCGGATTTGTGTTGGTGTGTATGTCGTCATATTTGTTATATACAACTCTGCAGAGAGAGAGAGAGAGAGAGAGAGAGAGAGAGAGAGAGAGAGAGAGAGAGAGAGAGAGAGAGAGAGAGAGAGAGAGAGAGAGAGAGAGAG